CGCCCGTACCCGTGCAAAAAAAAATTTCTTGCCAGGTTGGATGATGCCAGATGGAAGCGACCCGCAGAGTCGGGTAAAAGAAACGTCTAGCGGAAGCAGCAGAAATTGCACAATTTTCATACTTCAGAGGCTTCCTTAATGTCTTCTAGGCCTCGAAATGACACACCAAGAGAAGATATTTCAAAGAGCTTTGCGTGGTACTTCAGTGGAATGATTGGACACGTTCCATAGACAAGACATCAGATGACCAAAAATTATCTCATGGAATAGTTTGCCTAGACCCATGTCAGTGCTCTTGAGGTGATACAGATAGGCAAATCTTGCGGTAGGAAATCCCACAAGATTTCAGGCGGAATGCTACAAATGTTTGAGTGCACTTCAGGGCACATACATGTCAGTTGAGGTGAAGGTTTGCTGGTTGAAAATTACTTCATGAACTGGAACGCTTGGGGTTCGAAAAGACCGCTACGTCTGTCAAGTATGTACAGACCGCAACAGACCATCGGCAAGCACCACCTGTTCCATTTGTTGAACTTTTCGAGTCACTGTTCCAACGTTTGGTACCCTGTCTGAACCTGTTCGAACAGGAATGTGGCTTATATACTGCTGTGTGAGCCCAACATCCGAAAAGATCAAGGCAACGTGTGCTTGGCTCGCCGTGTTGGTAGTAGAAACAATCATTCGATCTTTTTGGACCCACCGGCATCATTTGCTGACAGTTTTTTTCGTGGTATGGTCAGGATGGTTCATCCTCATTTGGGTCACAGTTGGCCGTTTTGTGTATTTTGTTTGCGTTCGTTTTTCCACATTGATAATTGTGTTTGTGATTTCTTTCGTGTGCTTTCGCATGCTTGAACCCGATTTTTCTTTGTTGGTCATTTGTTGCCATCTCTGAGCGCGTTTTGTCTTGGGGTCCTATCGAGACATTGAAGTTCCTCACCCAGCTCGGCCGGGTTCATGGAAAACACGTGGAACAAGTCATGGAGTTCGTGGCACTAGCTGCTAGTTGATTGATCTGATTTGTGTTTGTTATCATTTTCACGTTGTATTCAGTGCACTGTTTGGATTCTAACTAGTGATGATTAGTGTTTGGGTGTCAATCCTGTTTGGGAGCCATCCCATGTGCCTCATGTGGCGCACGATTCGTTTGATTCTTGAACTTGCAGATGGACGACAAAGCCAGCACGTCGACCAATCCACCTTTCATCACGCAATGGAGAGCAATGGTTCAACTTCGAAGCTAAGGCGAAGTTGGGTTTTTGCCAAAGCACGACATGGCAAATAGTGATAAACTAGTTTTCACGTGCAAACACGTTTTTGCAATTGGCATTTGATTATCGTAAAAACTCAGACTTTGATGCAGGGGACAGCCAGTGGGGCTTGCCAAAGAGGTGCAAAAATTTGCTTTCAACTTGACTCGCCTGCACGCTAACCTGGAGTTGCTAGTCAATTGGACATGATGTTTTGATGCAAGCTTGTCGTTAGGACTTTACAGGCCACGTGAACACATTTCTGAATAAGGTGACACGCAGCTTGCCAGCAAGCCCTCCAGCGAAATCCTTGGCAACTTGGCGGTTCAGTCGTGCGGCAGGTGATGTCACCAACATGGATTGGTTTCGTCACATCGTGCGCTGCTGTCGCATCGAGGCTTCGGACCTTCGTCAATTCTCTACGACGCTGCAGGACCCGCGCGGGGCTCCCCAACAAGGCCCCCCGTCGTCCGGCTGTGTGACGAGTGTCCCTGGGGGCACCGTCTCCACGGTCTCTGTGGGACAGCCGTCTCAATCCCGTCGTCCAGCCCCACTGAGTCCCGGCGTCACCTCGGTGCTTCCAGGAGTCCCCGGACTTGGACATGAGCGCGACGTCGGCCTCTTGTAGCCCCTCGGCTTCAGACCAGGGTTAGGAATCAGGCATCAGAGTCAACGCCCAAGTGTTTTTTGTTGTTGGGTGTGATTGCCTTGCAATGCAGGGTAGTCAAGTCTTTACTGGAACGTGTCAGGCAACCTGACGAGCGTGAACAGGGGAGAGCCACCTCCTTAGAGTGAACAAACGGAGTGCTTCTGCAAGTTCACGCATGCCTGACGCTGAATGTTCTAAGCATTCACAGGGTCACCGGGGTCACTATGGTAACGGTCGGGTTCCGGATGCGAGGCCAAGTCGACGAGGCCCAGGCAGTTTTCACCTCATCGGGCTGTTCACACCTGCAGTGTCACAGAAAGCTTTGATTTTGCCTGCCAGCTCCAGGTTTGGAGTATTAGTGCCACTAGATTCGCAGCATTGCCATGCATGGTGTAATCATTCAACATGTTCAACGTTTTTGCCAGGTGCAAGCAGGGAGCTGTTTGCCATCAACCAGTTGCGTGTGAGAACCTCAAGTATGGCACATAATTCCAATGACATTGAAAGACACGAGGACGTGTGACCGCAATTGCACACAAGACCCGGCAATCCCCAATCCCAAGTTGTATGCTAGAGAATGGTACTTTTTCACGAAAGCTAGCGAAGCTAGCTGGAGTTACTCTTGCGATAGCAAGGTTTCTTTCGACCGGGTGCAAATCCTAACCCCTGATTTTTCAGGTCGAAGCCCCCCCCCTCCCCCCCTCCCCCCCTCCCCACCTCCCCTCTCCCCACCTCCCCCCCTCTCCTCCTCCTTGTCTTCCTCCCATCTTCCCTCCCTCCCTCCTCCCTCCTCCCTCTTCGCAAGTTCGACTCCGTCCTGTCGTCGCTCTTTGGCATGCGGTGAGCGTTGCGTATCTTGCGGCCGCACTCGCTCACTCTCACTCTCACTCTCTCACTGTCTCACTGTCTCACTGTCTCTCTCATCTCTCTCATCTCTCTCATCTCTCTCATCTCTTTCTCATCTCTCTCATCTCTCTCTCCTCTCTCTCTCTCTCTCCTCTCTGTCTCTCGTTTTTCCGTCTCTCTTCTCTCTCTTCTCTCGCAGGAGGATCCGGGCAAAGAGCCACATATAAAGGACTCTTCACCCCTGCCTCCAAAAAGAGCGCCGTGTTTTTTCCTACCTCGCTGCCCTCCACTTTCCCATTCTGGAGCGCTAGCTTTCGCCCCCCCCTTGGCCTCAAGTTTCAATTGGACAGCTGCTAGATAGACGGTCTGCTTTTCAAGGCTAGATCGCTTTCGTTTAGAGCTTTTGACATTGGTTGTGTCAAGTTTGTCCTTTGTCATCACCTTCCCCCTGAACTAGCACCTTTTCCCCGCGCCACCCCCAGGCACGTGAATCCAGGGTGGACATTTTGTGAAGTCCGTTGTGGCCACACACACACACAGACACCCACACGCGCACGCGCACGCACACGCACCCCCCCCTGCACACGCACACAGATACACGCAGATACACGCCGACCAACCCGCCCATGTCGTGTGTGTTGCACCACCAGGGCCAATTTGAGAGCCAGCGCCGGCGTCTCTCCCAGTTGGAGCGACGCATGGAGGTTCAGCTGGAGGCGACTCCACCGGGGGGCGCCGAGCTGGAGCTGGACCTCGCTGGGGGGAAGACGAAGCAAAAGGACCTTGCCATACCCACCAAGCAGAGGGAGATGAGATGTGGAACCACTGACATTCGATTGGTGCGATATGTTGCGTATATGTTTCCCTCGTCGATGTATGGCTCGAGCTGATATCTTCAGTTGGCCAAGCCATTTGCCGCGAAACGCAGGGCCCCGGCTTCTTCTGCATGTCGTACTTCAAAACCGGGCCGCCCGAAAGCCAACATCGGGACATTTGGATCTCAGGGAAGGTGGGCGATAGCTGCTCCAGAAACTTGGCCTTCTCCTTGCACCAGAAGAGCTACGATGTAACCTTGGTGGATGTGAAGAAATCGTCCGAAACCCCACTGGGCGCATGGGGTGAGGTCAATGTGGAGCAACCCAGAAGAGCTCGGCCCGTGGCGGTGGGCGGGGTTGACACCATCAAGAAAGCACGCAGCTAGAACCAGCAAGCAGCAAGGGCATTCTCTACATGTCCTGTACATTGGAAGCGCTTCCTTTGACATTTGGATGTGACCGGAAGAAAAGTGCCGTCTTCGAATCGGTAGAAGTTTCTCAAGTCCTGTTGGTTGTAAGCCTGGGGTTGGCATTCGTTTGGTAATGATTGAATGTGATTACTGATTGACGTGATTCGTGGCATGAAACCTCCGCTTTTGGCTCTTTCTCTGTCCAACGCCATTCTCTTCCCTTGCACATTTTGGCATCTTTTCAGTGTTGTTGACAGGATCGCCTCCAGGGCAAGGGCGACGTTCGCGAGCGCTGGGCAGAGACACAGGTCCGTTCGACCAGAGACACCCGCCGGACCTGGGTCCTGGCGTTCGGTGTGGGCGTGACCGAAGACGTGACCGAAGAGATGATGAAGGGAGTCGTTTTGGTGTTTTGGAAGGGTTTCTTCAGCCTGTTCCTTGTTTAGAGGGAGGATAGAAGTGGAAGCTCACTCCACTTGATCGATGCAGTTCTGAGAACCGTATCAAGTTGGAGATTGGAACCTGTCACAGACACTCCTTCATGCTGTCGTGCCGCATGCAGAGTTCAGGGCCTTTCAAACATGTTGCTGTTCTGAAAGCACATAAACAGGACAATGCTCCATCAGATAAACAGGAACATGTCACATGCTGTTTCCATCGACAATGCTCCACCAAGCGACCCAGTGCACATAAAGCACTATATCAGGGATGATGCCTTGCCATTTAATTCTTGTTGGATCCCTTTTGTAGGTGACGGGGAGCATCCACAGCATGGATTCAACATGAAACGATTCCACATGTAGTTCGTATGCGGATTTCATTCTCGCGCTTCATGAGCCATGAAAATTCACGCGATGGAACAAAGACTTTGGCAACAGCTTTGAGTGCACAGTGGAAGCCATGGCTTGATGTCGCCGGGCACCCGCGCGGCCGTCTAGTCGCCAGTCGACAGCCCAGTCTCACGACCGGAGCCGCCACGTCGACGAATCGATGGGTTCGCCGTTTGGGACCCGCCGCCGAGGACCGGTCGATGTACTTCATCGCTGTGGCGCTTTCATTTGCACTTTGCGCCTGGGTGAGAACTACATGCGCACGCCAAAAAGGTGGTCAAGCGTGCTGCTCACATGTGTCCTCATGATTCCCACATACTTTGACGATTCCAACAGTTTATTGCCAGTCTTCCATGCCTCTTCAGGTGCATCCCTGTTCCTTCTCTCCATCCGGACGGGTGCACTGGTGGAGCAGAGCTGCTCCCGGATCTCCTTCTTTCACCATGTGGCCTGGGACTTGGTGAAAGAGAGAGAGAGAGAGAGACAGACACAGAGAGAGAAAGAGAGAGAGAGAGAGTGTGTGAGAGGCAGAGAGCGAGCGGGGAGAGGGAGAGGGAGAGGGAGAGGGAGAGGGAGAGGGAGAGGGAG